CTTCTTCTGGGCTCCTAATTCTTTCAGCAGCCTTTCTACTACTCCTTCGCTTCTTCTTACTGCTGTCTTTCAGCCACACCCCTGATCTTCTGGTAGGAAAGATCTACACCAAGCATTCTCGAACAAGGGCGAAAAATCTTGGAGGACCCGTGTGCAAGTTATGCACGTTAAAGTAAAGATCCCTTGGTGTCTAAAATCGATAAGAGTAGGCTTCAGCCGCCACCCGGGCAAAATTCGAAATTTCCTACCAACTGAAAATATTAGATTTGTTCCGCGCGCTCATATGACCTTATGCAGTTGGGAACGCCGTTAAACACTTTACAAAAACAAACAATAGGCAGGACAATCTAGAACACAATCATTGACGCTTTTTTTTTTTTTTGGTCCCGTGTCCTGATTTTGGCGCCCATATTTGTTGGTTACGTAAAAATATAACGACATGGTGCAAATTGTTATGTTTTCCAGAAAAACGAAACAAGAAAAAGGGGAATTGTTTAGTCGGTGATGATTATATATGGTGACGATGATGATGCTCTGATGTTGAAAATAAAGTACATATTAGTCTTAGTGTTAAGTGTGTTTACTTTTTTTGCTTTGTTTGACGTTTACTCCAGATCCCCGCCAGGCTGTCCTGGGGAGGGGGGGGGGGGGACACAACTCTCATTCCCAAGTCCTCGCACAGAGTGACCAAAAATTTGAAAACAATTTGTCATCGTCATCCCTTGTATTTAATAAAAGTATGCCCAAAAATCACATGGGGGCCGCTTCTAAGTGATGACATTGACGCTTTTAGTTTTAGTAAGAGTTATACGGCACTTGCAACACAATAAGGTCATACAAGTACCGAAGAAGAGATGAGAATTACAAGAGAGTAACAAACATTTAAAAAAGGAGGAGAGATAAGCACGACAGATGTATGATAGGAAAGAAGGAGCAAGCCACACCAGAGCACCCGCCAACCTCTCACTGAATCATTGATGCTTGTGGTAGTGGTAGTGAAAAGTGCAAGATATCAGTTTGCTTTAAATAAACAATAAATGAATAAATAAATAACTAAATAAATTAAATAATTAATTAATTAATAGGGGCCTAAATAAATTACACTATGCAAATTGAAATCAGTCTAAACGAGCGATTTAAAAACACCTCTATTTCAACTTTTTTTTTCTCTATATTTCCAGACCGAAAAAATACATCTCCCAGTTCTAGTAACACACAAGCGCCACACATACAAACACACACTCATAAACGAACACACGTAAACACATGAACATGCGTGCAGAGTTTCAAAGGAAGAAAAAATCCAACACCCAAACAGGTAACTAATTAGTTTGTAAACTGTAATGAGTGCAAACAAACGAGTGTCAGCCTATAGTTCAACTGAATCTTTAGGTGGATCTTTTTTTCGTAGACTCAACACACCCCCTATTCTTTCTGCTGACAAATTAATGTACATTGTAATTCTGCCACACACACGCGGGCACGCACGCACACACACACACACACACACACACACACACACACACACACACACACACACACGAAGAGAGAGGGAGAAATAG